TCAGCCTGGTGGATGGCAAGGAGATGGCTGTGGCAGAGTTTGATGGAATGTGAAGCATGGCCTGGGGTCTGCTAGGTCAAGTGGGGCCATGTGTGTTTGTACTGGCTGACTCTCCAGTCAGCAGCGTATGGCCTCACAGCTATGGTCCCAAGGCCAAGTGAATGAAGAAACTCAGGGCCTGGTCTCAGGAAATCTGGTGATCAAAAGGCATCAGTAGCAGGAAGGCAAGGCTAGGTCAAGGTGGATGGTTAGATGAGCAAAGCACCAGGGCTGCAAAGATTAAAATGCCTCCAGAGGCATACATTTTGACTTGTGGGGATATGGCTTGCACAAAGATAAATGTGATGTGGGGAGTGGGGAGTGATGTGAGGGAGAGAGTCGGGTAACGTGCCCCAGAAGGCCAGTTCTCACGTGGTCTGGTCTCCAGTTCCCTCACTGTTCCACTTGTCCTCCTCTGGATATCCTTCAGGTTGTCAATAACCTTCCAAAAATATGGTGTTCAGAACTGAATGTCAGTCTCTAGATGTGCTCTGGTCAGTGTCGGGGGCCATGATAGGACCTCTTGGGTTGCTCAGGGGAGCCAGAAATCTTTTCTCTGGAAATATTGCCTTATTTCACCTTCTCCCCACCCAACCCCAGCCCCAAATCATAGCAAAATCCTTTTAAAAACTCTCAAATCTCAAGGGAACCCCAGAGGACTCCAGTCATTTTACAGATGAGGAAACTAAGACCCAGAAAGGTTGAAAGTGACTTGCTCAGTTTTGTTTCCTATTTCTGGTGGTTCCTCCCTTTGGTTCTAATTCTTACTTACAACCTCACTGATGTGAAAATGTTTAACAGGAATGTATATGTAAAGCCTATATCAGATTGTGCGCCATCTTAGGGAGGGTGGTGGGGAGGGAGAGGGGGAAAAATTTTCAACTCAAAAGCTTATGCAAGTGATTGTTGATAAATCAAAATAAATTAATTTTTTAAAAAAGTGACTTGCTCAGGTCAACTCGAAAATAAATATCAAAGCTGGGGTTTGAATTCAGGTCTTTTGAATTCAATTCTGTGATGAACAGCATATTTATATGTGTGTGTGTATAGACATATATGTATATATGTATATATAGTATATATCTGTATAGTTGTAGAGTGTGTAGTATAGGTTTTTTAAGCTAGCAAGATTCTTTGGAGTGTTCCCAGCTGGATGATGTGAGGCATAGAGTTCCCCCCATTTCTGGGTGGGGCAGACTTGCTATACTAGAGGACTGTGGATGCTTATTAGCCCTGACCGCAGAAATTGGTAGGGAGGAGCAGAAGGTTCACTAGCTTTAGAATGAGAGAAAGGGAAGGTTACTGGCTACTGGCTACTGGCCCTGTCACAAAACGGGCTGAGAAACTAGAAGTTATTATCACCATCAAAGGGTGTAGTGTCTCGGACAGAATTCCTGTGTTCCACGACTCATCAATTTTGTGTCCATCGGTTTGCTTTTATTTGGGTGGCTTTCCCTTCACTGTTGATGAAATCCTATTGACAAAAATACAACCTCTGACTTGAGAGGCTAAGGGAAAAAGCCTTGGTGAGGAATAATGACAGTAGGAGAGGACTATAACTTTGCTGTGATTGATTGGTAAAGATTAAGAATTTTTTTTTACAGGAAATGAGGTACAGAAATCTATCCTGCCCTGCAGGAAAGTGGAAGGGGAAGGGGATAAGAGAAGGGGTGGGGAGAGATAGAAGGGACGGCAGACTGGGGGAAGGAGTATTCAGAATGCATGCCATCTTGGACTGGGGGGAGGGGCAAGATGGGGTGAAAATTTGGAATTCAAAATCTTGTGGAAGTAAATGTTAAAAACTAAAAATAAATAAATTTATGTAGAAAAATAAAAAAAAAATTTTAAATTTTAAAAAAAGATTAAAAAAAAGAATTTTTTTAAAAGAAACCATGGATTCCATCCAGGGTTAGCCCACTACTTAATGGAGGCCATTTTCCTTGCAGATGATACTTATGGTCACAAGAATAATGCTAACTAGGTTGAGGGATGAGTTGGAATTATAGGGGTAATGGGATAGAGGAGATGAGAATGAGGATGGGAATGGGAACTAGAGATTATGATGATGGTGGTAGCGACAACAGGGATGGGCAGATGGTGATGCTGGGAATGGGAATGCTAATAGGAAAGATGATGGGGATAATTATGAGGATGATGATGGCAGTAATGATGGTGATATGCTAATGGAGGAGATAGTGATAGTGGCAAGAGGATTATGATGGGGAGGTGATCATGAGGATGCTGACTGAAGAGATGATAATTATAATGGGGAGGCTGAAGGTGGTGATGATAGGGAAATTCATGATACGATAATCAGAAACATAGGGATGATGGTAGATATGGGGATGAAGGAAAATATAAAGGGTAGGCCCTCTGGCCACAGAACCACAAAAGGAGTCCCTAGGTTTGAAATGGGCCTGGTCCGGAGCCTGGGCTGAGTGAAAGACTGGTCTGAATCTGAAGCCTTCAAGCAGGTACTCCTCCCCAGTCTATAAACCCACCCAACTCTAGCTACCCAGAAAGCCCTTGATTCTCTCTGCCCATCCTACCCTCAGCCATCTTCTATCTACCTCAGAGCTCTCTCTGGTTAGAGAGCTTCTGGGTATGGCATCTGGTCCATGGCCCAGTCTTGGGGGAAATAGCAGCAGCAACTTACCTTGGCAGGAGCAGGCAGGAGTCTGGTAAGAAGGCCCTACTGCTATTGCAAGCTGCTGATGGCTGCAAGTAAGAGAAATCTTCCCTACCCATTTTCATCTCTCTTTTGAACTACTCCCTGGTGCCTCTCCTTGTAGTTCCCTCCCCTTCATCTGGGAGGTTCAGAGGAGAAGGGGAAAAGAGGGAAGGAGAAATAGTGGGGAAGAGGTGGGGAGAGAAAAGGAGAGAAAAAGATGGGGGGACAGCCAGAGAGAGAGGAAGAAAAAAGAAAAAGAGAAGATGTAGAGAGGAGAAAGAAAGAGAAAAAGGCGAGAGAAAGGAGGAGGAGGAAGGCAAGAAAGAGAGCAGAGAGAGAGAAAGGGGAAGACAAGAGGGAGCGGGGGAGAGAGAGAATATGGAAGGAGGAAGAGGGAGGAGGGCATTTTTCTGGGTTTCCCTTTTGTCATATGAAGTAGCCCAAATCCAGCCTTACTTAACTTCTCTCAGAGCATAAACTAGCGAAGGTAAACAAGATCCTAGGGTATAACAAGGGACACATTTTTATGTTACTTTCCATAAATGTACATATTTTTAATGCCAGAAAGTTTCACTCTCCATGACAGGTAGGTATCAAATAAGTTAACATGTTAAATACTTTGCAAACCTTAAAGCACTATATAAATGTTACTATTAGTATCAGCATTGTGTTTGTTTGTGTGTGTGTGTGTGTGTGTGTGTGTGTGCGTGTGTGCGTGTGTGTGTGTGTGTGTGCGTGAAGTCTCATATGTCCCAATGAAGACTGAGACCTTCCAGGACACAGGGATATACCTTGCCCAGAGAATCCCAGTGCTGATCACCCTGTGTCTCAGTATCTCCAGCTCCTTAGTGGTAGGGGCACAGAAGAGAGAGAGAGGGGGCTGCCTGGGGGCAAAAAGGAATGGCTTGTAGGTGTTGGGGCAGACTCTCACCATGATTGAGGACAAAGCAGACTTCTACTCCTGAAGCCCCGTGGTTTGGAGACAGAGAATGCCTTCTCTCAGTCCCCATTCCCACTTCTCTTCCCATTTGAGTGACTTCTTCAGGAGACTCAAGTCCAGTTTTAATCCTGGGAATATCTGTGTCTGGCTAACAGGCCTTGGGATTCCTGAGAGTATGATGGAATTGGGTTCTTCTGACCTTTTAGCAACAACCAGGCCTGGGGGTAAAGGTGGAAAAGAGGGAGGCACTCTCAACTGGGATGCAGGTTCTGAGTGTGGAGGTCCATGTCTCGGGCCAAGAGGACCCCTATGTACTGGTCTGATTGCATAGAATTTACGTGCAGATCTGGTTATCATACCTTAGGAGGGACACAGAAGAAATGGAGGAGGTGCAGGCAGGACCTCAAATAAGCAAAGGAATGGATGTGGAAGATGGGGACACCATAGGGGACCAAAGCAAAAGGATGTGGCCATTTTGGTACACTACTATGGAGGCTGAGAATGGATAAGATTGAAGCCTAGAAAGTCATAAAGGCATAGGCAGGAGGAACGTAGCTATAGGTTAAATGACTTGCTTAAGGTCACACAGCTCAAGTATCTGAGGTTAGATTTGAATTCAGATCTTCCTGACACCAGGTCCAGCACTCTATCCACTGCACCACCTAGATGCCCGACTAAGCTCTCCTATCTTTAAATAAAGGGGCCCCCTTGTAGTCTGAAAGAAGTAAATTTAGTTAACTTAAAAAGAAGTCTGGCTGCACACAACAGGGAGGAAATCCTTTACCCAGAAAGGTGGCACAAGCTAAGAATACGAAGAGGTAAGGGAAAGATTCAGATTAATTTGAGGATGACAGATCAATAGTCATCTTAGTGGAGAGGTGCTCCCTCCACTTTCCCCACCCCCAATAACTCTCCCGAGACTATAAATTATGGATGAGTGCTGATCTGTCATTGTGAAGTGAATTTCCACATGGGGAGTTCCCTATGCAGATGAAATCAAGGTTGGGACCATTTTTAAAAGGAAAGGAACAGGCAAGCATATATTAAGGTAGCAAATTTACCTCCTGACTCCTCTAGCCTTACCCCACTTCACCACCCTCCCTCTCCCATCCTAGGACCCCGGGAACTTTGGTCAATTTATGGTAGCTCTGGAGCAGATAAAGGACAGACTCTGGGGTATGTGCCCCCTCTGCCCATCTTTGCCCCAAGTAGATACCCATACCCCCCACTTCCCTCCACAGACACCCCCCTCCTCCAACGCCGACTCCCTGACATTGGAATGAAAGCAGGAAGTATTGCAGGGGTCCCTTCAGCGGCTCCCTTACAGGGAAGGAGAGTCCAGGCCAGCTAAAAGGTCAACAGGCTTTAATGGCATGGCTACTTCCCTTCCAAGACCCAATCTAATTATGACAGTGGCTTGGGGGTGGTGCTGTGGGGCATGGACCATGTTGGAGTTCCAAGGCCAGGGGCAGGACAGGGCCAGGCAGGTGGGGCAGAGGCCATGCAATGACTGTAGGCAGTGTCTCTGTGTGTGTGTGTGTGTGTGTGTGTGTGTGTGTGTGAGAGAGAGAGAGAGAGAGAGAGAGAGAGAGAGAGAGAGAGAGAGAGAGAGAGAGAGAGAGTAGGGGTGGTGGGGGATTGTTACATTCTGTTTGGCATGTAAACATTCTTCTGTGGCTTCTTCAGTAGAACGTAGAGATTGGAGGAGGGTGGCCAAACCTTCCCCCAGATCCAACACATCCCTAAACAGTGGGTGCTGAGGAAGGCCAAGGGAGCCTGAGGTCTATCCTGACCCATTTCCTCTTGGAATGAGAGACTTTAGACCAGAGACCTATCCCATGAATGCTGGCAGAGCAGTCTGTGTGTCTTGACACACAACCTACCATCCCCTAAGTGCATGGTGGGGCCAGCCAGGCCTAGATGGGGATTGGGGGAGGGGTCTCTTCTTTTCTGTGGGAGGAGGGAACTATGTAGAGGAAACCCCATTTCTGAGTTTAAAACAGGCTTGCTCTTCCTTCTGAAAGGCTTATGTATGATGAAGGAAGGGGCGAGAGGGGCTCTGAGCTGGGGAGACCTCATTTGGGAGGGAGGAGTATCCAAGGAAGGAGGGGATAAGTACTAATTAGACCAACCTTATTGGGATATGTGTATTGGGTGGTGGTAGAGAGGTATACTGGGGAGAAGGAATAGGCAGGGCTCTGCTGGGTTCTTTGAAAGAGGGAGCCATAGCAATTATGTTTGCTCTGGACCCTGGCAGCATGGGGAAGGCAGGGGGGGAAACGGTAATTGAGGGCCAAAACCAGTCCAGCCCTGACCCCTTCCCTCATGCTCCTTGTGACATTCTGTGTTGCTGAAGCCTGAGGTCAGTGGGAGGGCTAGAGTCCTCAAGATGCTTGCGTTTCCAGTCTCCCACCGCCTTCCACCACTAAAAGACTTGGGTGTATCTGACTAGCTCGTGTTCTAGGTGGAGGAAGGCAGCAAGTCTCCCAGGGCTAGCTCAGGCTCTCCCTCTCTCCCTTTAAGGATCTGACCTGCGTAGACTTTGGCCGCAAGGGTGGACCTTACATTCATATTTGGGGCGGCAGCAGAGAGGGTCATAACCCTACCCCCCTAGGACTTTTGGATTGTCGGTCAGATATACTCTAAGTATATGTATGTGAGAGGGGGTTTGGTACAACCCCTCCCTCTGCCAAACCCCTGGGCATGGCATAATTCTTTGTGCCCTGGTACTTGGGGTGATCCTCCTGTTGGCTGAATCTAGAGAGGTATGGGATAGCTTCAGATTAGGACCAGGCTAGGCAGTGGGTGGGAAGATAGAGGGGGTCCTGTCATTGGTGAGGAGGGAGGGAGATTCCTAAGTGTCCTGGATCAGCCTCAACTTTTCATTTGGATTTCTCTGCCCCAGGCTCAGATAGACAGGAACCTCAAAAAGGCATGCTGAAAGGTGGCAATGCCTGAGACATCTTCTCCAGGTTCCTCTATCTACATCTCTGGGGGTGGGCTGACTGTGGTGTTGCCCTACCCAAGGATGTCTAACATGCTTGTGCTGTGCCAAATACTTGGCAAATTGGATCCTGTCACTTTGGAAACGGCCAATTACTGATGACTGATGTGGAAGCTCTTGCCACCTTTACCTCCTCTTGATCGTCTTCCTAAATCTGGGCTTCACCCTGGGCTCTGATGATGCATAGGCCTCTTATATATAGATCCTAGATTGGTACCAACTTGGGATCTCAGGGTGGCCCTCCTTACTGCTTCCTCTCTGCCCCTTATGCCCTCTCTGGTGCCCAGAACTCTCTGGAGTGAAGAAAACAAACCAAGGGATTCTGGTTAAACAGTTCTCTTGAGCATACTTTTTCAACAGGCCTTTTACCCTCTCACAGTCTGAGGGTGGGGCTGAGGGTACAGGGTAGGGGTCAATTGCTGAAGACAGGGTAAGCAGATCACAAGTAACAGCAGAGATAGATCTCTGGAGTAGGAGGAGGCCAAAAAAAATGTTGACCATTTCTGCTGGGGAAGGAGAAGAGAACCCTGAATCCCCACTCTTTTCTCTGACCATCAGGGTTCCCTAAAACAGATGGACGGAGTGTTAGAATGTTCTGTCACCGAAAGGAAGGGAAGTCTGTGTCCTGTGTCTGCCTTCTCTGCTAAACTATTCCTTCTTTCAGGGGAAGAAGAACCTGGGTCCTCACACCTTCTGTTTCTCTCTCTTGAAGATAAGATACAATGCTATCAACCTGCCTTGACCTTGACCCTGGCCTATGAAGCTCATAATGCTATTCTTCTGAGACCTGGCTGAGATATAACTGGGGAGGGGGAGAAAGGGGTTTTTGGAACCTATACAGCTCTGTCCCTTTGCCATTCTTGATTCTGGAGCACAGGCCTGGCAGGGAGTCCCCCTCCTTTCTTCCCCAGAGCACTCACCCCATTCAGGGGTGGCTGAACAGCTGGAACTCCCAGTGGATTGTCTAAACAGTCCTACAGGCAAGCTGTAGGAAATAGGAGGGATGGGGAAAGGACCAAGGGAGGAGAGAAGAGGACATTACATTCGTTTTGCCTGGTAGCTTCAGGAGTCCTAGCTGTCTGTGCTCCCTCCCACCAGCTCAAGGTAAGATCCCTGCCCTAAGAGATTCCATGCATTGTCTAGGACAGGTTGAGGTAGCCCCAGATGGACCAGACCTATCTCAGTGCTCTGGGGGAAAACTATTTTATCTGTTCTCTCTCCTGGAAGCAGGGCTGGGGTTGGGGAGGAATCAGAATTAACACTCCTCACAGTATCTGGATGCCTCCCTGGCATTAAGGATTACTACCCCTGGAGAAGTGAGGGAGCAGAAAGCCAGGAATGAGAAGTAAGCAGGCAAGTGAGAGGATCTGATCAGGCCAGAGTCAGGCCAGCCTGGGGACTGACTGCTCAGGGAGGGACACTCAGAGGAGGCTCTTCAAAGGAGAACTATTCCTAGGGGGTAGAGGGAAAGAAGGGCCAGTATTAACCTTCTTCCCCTGCCAGTCTTCTTCCTTACACACTTCCTTTCTCCTATGGACAGCAAATGCCTGGGAGGGCGTACCCTACTGTCCAGTGTCTCCTGCCTCTAGTACTGGGTTCCAAGACAGAGGAAACAGCACCAGGCTTGAAGGGTAGGGTGGCCCTCTTGGTAGAGGCCGGGCAAGGAGGGGCTGGGTAGACCTGCTATATAGAGTATGCCCTCTCTGCAGACCTGTGGAGGAGAAGGGCATTAGTGAGCTACTTGGTATCCCCCCAGAGTACTTAGTACAGCATTAGGCACAAAGGAGGCACTTAGTAAGTGTTTGTTGAATGACTATTTGAAATCTTCCCAAAGCTTGGCTAGATTCCTCCCTTTCACCTCATCTTCAGAGCATCAATCAGTTTTGAAAAGTTAAAGGTGTGAGCATGATTTGCACAACTGAGGGAACCTTGCTCACCAGCCTACCCCATCACTATTATACCTGTCTCACATACCCATATATAATATATATGGGGGTATGTATATATTCATGAACATATACATATATATGCATACATATACATACATATTGTCTACAGCTGTGATTTCATTGCTACCAGAAACTCAAGGTCAGGAACTCCTGCTACACTGAGAGATGGACAAGGTGACTTGCCCACGGTTACCCAGCCAGACATAACAGAGGATGGAGTTGAACTCAGATCTTCCTGACTCTCTGATGCCTAGTAGGTGCTTTAATAACTGCACATAATACTGGGTAGTCTTCAAATCTAAGAAGACTCTATATAGATAGTACAGGGAACAACACTTCTCCCTCGCCCCTGCAGGCAGACAGAGAGAGATAGTCTTAAGCTGCAGCCCATTAGACACACCCTAATTTTTTAAAATGGCATTTTCTGCTTCATTTTTTTTTTGTATTTTAAAATAAAGTTTAATTGCAAATTTTTAAATTAATTTAAGTTTAATGTCCAGGCATATCCTAACATCATTAAACTTGGTATTTTCTGCTTCCTTTTAAGTTTATATTTTAAAATAAAGTTTAATTGTTAATTTTGTTTTAGAAAATTAAATGAAGTTTTTAGTGTCTGGGCACAACCTAATATAAAAAATTGATATTTTCTGCCTCATTTTTAGTTTATATTTTAAAATAAAGTTTATTTTTTTAATTAAATTAGGTTTTAGGGTTTTTTTAAGCTTGTTTAACCAATAAAAATGCCTTTTATGATTGTATATTCAATAAATAGGCACCTTAAAAAAATTTCCTGGGTGATGCATACTCTAATGAGATGTGCTGTGAACAGCCACATCAGCAGCACTGTATAGGGTGAAGAAGGGATTAAAGTTAGACAACAGGGTGGGGGGTTAAGTTCGGAGCCCTGGATTAGGTAACCCCAAGAGGGGTTTAGATATTTTTTTAAGGCCCACGCCAGCCCACTATCCTGAAATACTCACCCACAAAGCCAGGTCACAATCTGGTGGGTTCTCCTGGGGTGCGTTTTGGCTTCTGTCTGTGGTGGCAGGTGCTAATGAGGCACCCTTATTCTTTGAGGGGCAGGGAGGGGGTAGAACTGTGCCCAGGGAGGACAACGACATTATCCAGAGTGAATCACCCAGATCGAATTAGGGTCACTTGATGCAGAGAAGGAGCAGTGGTTGGACTGACCCTCCCCCCATCCCCACACCCTGCTCTCTCTTCCCAACCCAAATCACTCTTAGACAGCTAGGGGAGGCCCCCGGTACTCCCTCCTTTCTGGGGAAAAAAGGGTGTGCAGACTGGATTGAGTCTTAAGAGGCAGTGGGGCCTAGCCCCTGTGAAGAAGGGAATTCTCACTGCTGAGACTTAAAGCCTTCCAGGGAAGGAGAAGGGGAGGAGAAGGAAAGAGAGAAGGGGAGGTCATCCATGGAGCATGAACAGAGCCCCACCAGGGACAGAGAGAGGAAGAATGAAGCTATGGCTAGGGATGGATGAATGGGAGGCCTCAGGGATGTTGGAGTCTATGAAGAAAACTGGGGATCTGAAATTAGAGTGTGGCTGACTCCTTTGGGGCCTTAAGGTCCTGGCCCAAAACTCCTGGGGGTGATCCCAAGACCAATGTAGCCCGCAGGCTTCCCTCCAGCCCCCAGTAGCAGCTAGGGCAGCAAAGAGGAGCCTGGGATGTCTGAACAAGGACACTCATTCCTTGGGGAATAAGAAATTCAGCCCATCCCAGCCTCAGAGTTCCTTCAGTGCACAGGATCGTAAGGAAGGTAGAAGGCAACCAGAGAAAGAGGAGGAATCTTCCCCTCTGAAGTGCCCCCTTTTGCCCAGGCAGCAAGGGCTCCTGGTGACCTATTGAAGGGATGGGGCTTACCTAAGAAGCGCCAACACAATGTGTGTGTGTGTGTGCATGGATGCGTGCCTGCGTGTGGGTGTTTGGGAGGGAATTGGTAGAGTTGGTGGGTTGCTCAAATATCTGGCATGTAAGGCTGTGCTGGGGGAGTATCTGATCCAGTGTAACCGGCCAAGATTGGGGAGAGGAGTGAAGGTCAGGGGTGTACCCAGCCGGACTGGATTGAGAGCTAGGCATCATTATCTGGCCCCGGTTTTGCCCTCTGAGGCCCCTGAGGCCCCCGCTCTGCCTTTGGTTGCCGGGCTATAAGTCTGGAGTTTCCCTCTTGGTCCTTTCTTGGGGCCCCCCGGTGAGGGGAGGCCGTCAGGCTGCCCAGGCCCCAGAGCCTGAGGCTGGACCCTGGCCAGGGGGGCTCCCCGTGGTAGGGTGCCACCTGGCCTAGCCTGGTGGGAGGGAGAGGGACTCTCTCTCCGGGTTAGAGACTGGCTCCTTGGGGAAGCACTGAGATGTCTGGCGGAAGGGAGGATTGGGCCGCGGGAGGGAGGGATGTGGCTGGGGCGGCGGGGACTGGCACGGTTTGGGGCAGAGCCGGGGCTTGAGTGGGCAGGAGGTTGTTTGGCGCGGAGGTCAGCAGTGGCTGGAGGCCCAGGGGATCTCTGTAGCTGGAGCCTGAGGAAGAGGGAAGAACAGGAGAGAACGTAAGAGGGCATATTCGGAATTTGCCAAGAGCAGCTAGGAGCTAGAATTTCACATAAAATCCATAAACTTTTGCATTGGAAAGTACCTTAGAGACCATCTAGTCCAGGGGTAGGGACATGTGGCCCTTTAGTCAAAGGGCCCCACCCCAATTTAGTCTAACCCTCTCTTTTCTGGGGGCAAAATACTGGAGCTTCCATTTCTGTGCTTTTCCTACTACACTTCTGCTTCTTTGAAGCCTACGAGTTCTAGTCTTTGGACAATGGAAACATGAACATTCTAACCTGAGTTCCTTCTTGCCTCCCTCCCCTGCTCTTCTCTTTCCATGATGCAGGCCATCTGGAATATGCAGGACTTAGAAGCTAATAATACAACCAGGTGAGGGTACTTACCACTAGGGGCACCTAACGGGGCATTATTTGGAAGGGTGTCAGGGTGATAGAGTGAGCAAAGTAATGCGGTATGTGCTCCAAGGTAAGCTGGCACAAACCTGCTCTTCTTCCATTTGGGGAGCACTCAGTAGCGGCCTGAGGTCACTGGACACTGGCCCCAGGCCTGGCATCCTGGTGGGTTGTTCTGTCGATGCTCCCTGAATCCTCATGGCTTACCCCGGTGGATGGATGGGTCCCTCCAGGGGGATGGATGGGCTCATCTCTGCTTACTTTGAGAACAGTCTAAGCACATGTTGTCTCTACCATAGGATGCAAGCTCCTTGACAGCAGGAGTGGTTCTATTTTTGTCCTTGCAGCTCCAGCACCCTGACATTTAGTAGATGCCTAATAAATGCTGGTTGATCAATTAGTGCTGTTCTCTACTTTTTTTAGGTGATGTTTTACTCTTTTTAAATTTCCTTGTCTTTCCCTTGATTGGAGGGAGGGTAGATATCCAATTAGCTCATGATTCCAGAGGGAATAATATGGGTGAAATGCCAAAAGCCTCCTGTCCTTCCCTCCATCTCCCAAACACGACCTGGCATCCTAGGATGGATTAATCAGACAGTTTCGGAGTGCCCAGGTAAGTGAATCCCATATTAGCTTGAGGGTGATGAGGAGTTCTGGGGCCAGAGAAGCCTTTCTTTTGGGAGGCCACAAGGGAACAAGGGGCCCAGACCTAGAGAGACTCATAGGCAAAGTTAGTTCTCAGGAAACTATAGCTACATAGAACCACTTGGAAGTAGAATACTACCCAGCTGAACGTCTAATTATTTTACCTGGTAGTATTATCTCTGAATTTGTGTATTCCTTTTCTTCCCTGTAACTAAATCCTGGAAAATGTAACCTTTGGTATGGAGGCCCGGGGGTGAGAAGGTAAAGAGGAAGTGGGTGCTGGATTCCAATATCTAATTATGGGGCAGTGGCAGAAGGAGGGGGAAGGGTAATTAAGGATTGGAGGCAGCAAATATTTGGACTCAGAAGCTGCAGGGTTCAATGATCACTGAAGATTTAGGACAAAGGTGGAAATCCTGGAAACAAATGGAAAAGGCCCCTTGGGCAGGTTCCATAAGAAAGTTAGGTTCCTGGAAAGATTTAAAAACTAAGGCCAGATCCTTCACACAGCACCACACCTGTGGGCATTGCACCAATGGGAGGAAGAGATGGGGCATAACATCATTTACCTGCCCCTGAAATGTTTGTTATCTCAAAGTGTCTCACCTGCTGGTGATGGCTGTGTCTGGTGATGGGGCCATGCTGTTGGGGGCACTGGGGTGTTGCATCCTCTGGGGACTCCCCCCGCTTTTGAGCTGTACCGGGGTGGGTGTCCTCACACTGACCGGGCGAGGGATTCGGCTCCTTGTGCCCACAGCCCGTTCCACTTTCCTGGGGGCCGAGTCATCTGAGTCATGGGTATCCTCCTCGGATCCCGTGCCAGACAGCGTCTCCGAGGCCCGACGCCGTTCCTCACTGGATGAAGCCGAGGATGACGCTCCAGAGGCAAGCCGCAACAGGAGGCGGCCCTGCCTCTTCTCCATCACCAGGCGGGCGAGGTCAGGCTGCCGTGTCCGCTTGCACCACCGTTCTTTGGCCGAGACTGAGGCTGACAGCTCAGAGCCTGTGTCCTCCTCAGAGAAGAGGATGGGGATACGGCTCCGGGGTCGGGAGCCAAGGAGGGTCACAGGGACTGTCTTCTCTGGGACCCCAGGCTCTGAAGAAAGACCAGGCTCAGGTGGGATGGTGAGGGGCTGCCCATCGGTGGGGGCAAGGCCGTTGGGCAGAGTATCGCCAGCCACTTCTGAGGGTGTATCCCCAGGTGGTGCTGATAGCACATAGCTGTCTGTCTCTGCTCCGTCTGGCCCAGACAGAATACTGCCATTCTCTAAGGGAACAGGGGGCTTCTCCTCAACAACGCTCTTCTCCAGCATGGCCTCTGGGCCCAGCCCTCCATTTCCAAGGGTGGCTTCCTCAGGCCGCAGGGGCTGCCCACTGGAAGACATAACATTGAGATGGGTTTTCTCAGCAATGTGCACAAAGGTCCTCTCAACTTTGGTGAAGGGTGAGGAGGCAGCTGCCACAGCTCCCCCTGGTCCTACAGCTGGTCCCACCCCAGTACCAGCCCCAGGGGGCTTCTGTTCAGACTTGAGGACAGAGGACAGCGTCCCTGGCTCAGACACATCCAGTTGGCTCCCTGTGGGTTGGGGCCGCTCATTCTGGGGGGTCAGGGCAGCCAGTGTGCCTAGGTCAGGGTCAGGAGCCAGGTCAGTGGTGACAGGTGACTTCTTCATGTCACCCGGGGAGAAGAGCACCAGTGTCTTGGAGCCCTCCTCTGGCTCCAGGTCCCCATCAGCCACGGATGCTCTGCCCCTGGATTCCTTCTGGTCATCAGCAAGTAATGTGGATGGGGCTCCCTCTTGGCTTCTGTCTGTGCTCTTCTCACTCACTTCACTGCTGGAGTCACTTCTCAGCCCTAGCACCTGCCCCAAAGCTGCTTCCTCTTCCTCCTCCTCCTCCTCCTCCTCCTCTTCCTCCTCCTCTTCTTCCTCTTCCTCCTCTTCCTCTTCTTCTTCCTCCTCCTCTTCTTCTTCCTCTTCCTCATTATCCTCTTCCTGGCCCTTCCCGTTGACCTCTTGCTGGATAGGAGCTGGCATGGACTGACAAGGGACACTGAGGACAACATGGGAGAAGTCCACTGTTCGGACCCTATGCAGGAGGCGAGCACGCTCCCTGTAATCAGACAGGTCTTTCTTGAAGTCCTGGTAGGGCAGGCTCAGGGGCACAGCCCTAGGGAGGCCATTTACCTCAAAAGGTGAAGACAGTGAGAACACCTGCAATCGGATTCAGGGAGGACTGGATGAGTTATAGGATCCCCCTTTGCCTCCACCAACCCAGAGTATCCCAGCAATGAGCCTCCCATGACCTGCCTCTACTTAACCCAAATGGCCAGCAGAGAGCCATAATCATCTGTGTCTCCTCTCGGCTACTTTTACATGGCCTCCCTCCCCCCGCAAGTTCCAGGAATCACTCTAAACCATGTATACAGTGCTCATGTTCCTAATCTGTAAAACAAAGTTAACTCATCTTCCTGAGTTCACATCTGGCCTCAGACACTTACTGTGTGACCCTGGGTAAATAATTTAACCCTGTTTGCCTCAGTTTCTTCAACTGTAATGTGAGCTGGAGAAGGAAACAGCAACCTACCCCAGTATCTCTGCCAGCAAAACCCCAAATGAGGGCATTAAGAGTTGGACAAGACTGAAATGATTGAACAGCAAAAAGTGCTTAATAAATGTTTGCTGATTGATGAGAACAGCCTCTCTCTCATTCCCTCTCTTCCCCCCTCTTTCCTTCCTTCTCCCTCCCTCACTGTCCTTCCTCTCTCCTTTCCTTCTTCCTCTCTTTCCCTCCTAACTAGCAACCCTAACCCTGGAGCATCTGTCTAGAGTTCAAAGGGAGAATCTGGATACTAGGGTGATTGTTTGGCTACTGGATGGCTGCTGGTTCTGGCCAATAACTCAGGAAGGCAGTTTGTGGCGAGGGAGGAGGTAGAGACAGTTAGCTTAGACAAGAGAAGACCTACAGAGTGACTTGATGGTGGCCCTCGGCCAATTGGAGACGTGTCACATGAAAAGGGGATTAGACGCATTCTGGTTAGCCCTAGATGGCCACTTTATCAGCAATGCGGGGATGTCGCTGGGAAGAAAATTTTGGTTGGATGTAGAGAAAGACTTTTAATTAGGACTATCCAAAAGTGGAATGGGTTACCTTGAAAGGTGATAATAACAATAATAGTTCATATTTATATAACATTTTCCAATGTGATTTCTTTGCAATTGCCTTTGTGAGGTGGGGTAGGTAGGTATGAGTACTCCTATTTTGCAGACAGAGAAACTGAGTCTCAGTGAGGTTGAGGCAGAGTTGAAGGGGGATCTTAGAGATTGCTACCCCCTTGCCAATTGTCCAACCCCTTCAGTTAACAGATGAGGAAACTGAATTCTGGAGAAAGGAAGTGACAGTCAGAAATCTGGTCAGTCCTCGAACTCAGATCTTCTGACTCCAAGTTGAGTCCCCTCTGCACCATTCCATGCTGCCTTCCTCATGACTGCAAGTCTTAAAGTGCAGACTGGATGACTAGGAGACATCAGAGCTCACTGACCTCTAGGAATCTTTTCCTGCTGTTTCCCACCCCCACCCCAGCTGCCAGTGGTTTCCATCCCCAAATTACTTATTCTCTATCTCAGAGGTACTTATTCAGGGGGTCCCAAAAGTTTTGGTGCAGTTCTAAGCTTTGAAGCTCAGTAGCTACTAAAATCTTTAAAACTGCACCAGGACTTTTGAAGTATCTCCTATATATACATATTGTCTTCCCTTATAGGAAGAGAATTTCCCTAAGGGCAAAATCAGACCCATTTCTGTCTTCTTATCCCCCAGAACTTAGCACAATGCCTAACACATAGTAGGTATTCAATAAACACTTGTTAAATCGATTAATTTGGTGATCACAGATTTAGAGTCGAAAGGGAAACCTTAGAGGTCACAGAATAGACAGAACTAGGAGGGACCTCAAAGGCCATTTAGGCCTCATTTTACAGAAGAGGAAACTGAGGCCCAGACAAGTGAAGAGACTTGTCCAAAGTCACACAAGTAGTAAGCATCAAAGGCAGACTGAGCCCAGGTCCCCCAACTCTCCACTAGACTTTACTAGGTGGCACAATGGATAGAGCCAAGCCTGGAGTTAGAAAGACCAGAATTCAAATCCAGCCTCAAACACTTACTAGCTGTGTGACTCTGGGCAGGTCAATTAACTCTGTTTGCCTCAATTTCCTCATCTGTAAAATGGGCTGGAGAAGGAAAAGGCAAACTACTCCAATATCTTTGCCAAAAAAAACCCAAATGGGGTCCCAAAGAGTAGATAGGACTGAACAATAACAACAATATATATTAGTATATATTCAAAGATCTAGGACCGCCTCAGGGAGGGACGGGTGCTCACCCTGTCCATGCAGCTCACAGCCCCTATCAGATGGCCTTCATGAGGTACCATGGTAGAAGAAAGGTCACCAGATGATGTGAACCTGAGGATGAGACTCTTCACTTAGCCAGGCTGGACTCTGCACCACAGACACAGCTCAGGTGCTGTATATGCAAGCCTTTCCAGCTTGGCAGGCGCTCCCAGAGCACCCTTAGTGTGCCGATTCGGTCTTTGAAAACTCAGGGTCCCCTCCACGCCGTAAGAGATGATGTCATGATGTAGCAGATAGAGCTCTGGCCTTAGAGTTAGGAAGACCTGGTTTCAGATCCCACCTGACACCACAGCTCTGGGACCCTGGTCCAGCCACTCAACCTCTCTGGGCCTCAGTTTCCTCATCTGTGAAATGATGGGGTTGGACTAGATGGTTCCTAAGGGCCCTTCCAGCTCTAAATCTATGATATTATGATCTTGTTTCATCTGCATAAAACTATTGAGGGGAAGGAGTACTTGAGTTGGTGTTCTGTAGTTAAAAGGTCTAGTGGGCTTAGAGCCCAGAGATTTGGGTTTGAATGTTGGCATCTCTACTTAACAGCTATGTGACCTTGGATAAATCCCTCCCCTTCTCTGGGGCTGTTTCCTCCTCTGTCAAATGGGGTTAATAATACATTATCTGCCTCACAGGGCTGTGGGGAAGTGCTTTGTAAACCCAAAAGGCTAGAAACGTGTGAGCTGTTATTGTCAAAAGGGTCCTTGAGGACTCTAAGTCCTCTAGGGCCACTCAGCCCCAGAAACCAAGGCTGAGAAATGTGTTCTCTCCAAACCCAAGGGAACACTGGAATCCTGGAGTCAGGAAGTTGAGTTCAAATCTGGCCTCAATCTAGCTGTGGGACCTTGGGCAGACAGCCATTAAGTGCTGTCTGACTCAGTTTCCTCAATTATAAGATGGGTTAATCAAGGCACATAGCTCAAAAGTTTGTTGTGAGGACAAAAGGAAAAAAACATTTATAAATATTTGTACTTAGATGACCTCTACAAGAGGGTCCCCTCCCCGAGTCATAATCTTCTCTCTTACCAAGAGAGCCCCTGCACCTGAGAGCTTTGCACCAGAAGGCACCAGAAAGAGGACTAAGTGAATTCAGATAGAGGTCCCAGACCTGGGGAGGTGTAGGCACTGATTCTGAAAATTTTAGCTAAGAGGACCAAGAGACTCAAAGAATCCTGAAATATTAGAGCTGAAGGAGACCTAAAAGGTCATCCAAACCAAAGGTGTCACACTCCCTGTCTGTCTGCTGCAAGTAGCCAGGAAAACTCCTAAGTGGGTCGAACCAGATTAAAATGGAAATGGGAAATGTTTGACAAAATAAAAATACAACACAAATATCAATTTGTACTTTTCTAAGTCAATACGCTGCTCAGGGACTCCTTTCTATTTGAGTTTGACACCAGTGATCTAGACTAATCCTTTTCTTATTTCTCAGTTCAGGAAACTTAGGCACAGAGCATATATAGGTGACTTGTCCAAGGTCATACAGTGAGTTAGTGCCAGAGAGAGAGGACTAGAACCCAGGTCTCAGACACAAGTTCTGGCCCCCTTTCTCCTAGTTTCTGGTCCTTTGGTCCTTGTAATCTGGTTGTCTTTCTTCTCCCTAGGTTTCTGTGACACTGCTCTCTCCTGGTTCTCCTCCTACCCATCTAACTGCTCCTTCTCCATCTCCTTCCCTGGATCTTCATGCAGGTCACATGCCTGGAATTCTCTCCCTCCTTATCTCTTCCTCCTGGCTTCCCGTGCATCCTAGCTAAAATCCCACCCTCTACAATGTTTTTCCAAATCCTCTTGAATTCTTGTACCTTCCCTCTGTTAAATATCTCCTGTATAATTTATCCTGTATCCCATCCAGCTTGTTTGTATGCAGTTACACTGTGAGTTCCTTGAGAATAGGGACCGTCTTTTGCCTTTCTTTGCATTCCCAGAAACTAGCACAGGGCCTGGCACACAGTAGGCACTTAATAAATATTGACTGACTAACTTGGTCTCTGGACTGACATGGACCTAGAGTATCTCCTCATCCGTCACTACTCCCTCTCTCTCTTTTCAACTGTTTCCTGGATACCTTCTCGTGGATGGTTTGATCAGGGAAAATTAGATCTAGACATGCCCATCACTCTAGAAGGAATGCCTTCTGCCCCCCAGTTACCAGCCACCAAAATCCCTGCCCCCTTCCCCATCTCTTTGCCCAAGGGTACTCTCTCTTTCTCTACCCCTTGGATATAACCAACAAACTGACCACTCATTGAGAATAGCCAGTTAAGGTTCCATTTCTCCCTTCTCCCTCACAGGAAGTGCTTTTGGTCATGGTGTCCCACCTCCCCCTAGAATCGTGGACATTATCCCCTTCTCTTTCATTCTCAGAGCTCTTTCCTTCCTAACACCTGTGAATGACTCCTCTTGCCAGGGTGGTTTGGGGAGGATTCTCCATTGTACTGGTAGAAAAACTGAGGTCCAGAAAAAGGCGATGACAAAGTCATATACAGTGGCAGAATCAGAACCTGGGTCTCCTGCCTCCTAGCCCAACACTGTTCCTTTGAAAAAAATTGATTGAGGCTATATTTTTTTAAAATCACTTATACTTCCTAATGAATGTTTCCCCCCTTCTCCATAGAAACCTTTATTATAATAAATAAGCAGTTAGGCAAAACAAATCAACACGCTAGCCCCTAATTAGTGGAATGTCCACTCCCTCCCTATCAGTGGTACCCTCTTCAGAGGGAGACTTGCCCAGAGGAAAGAGGATCTTTGGCTGGGAGAGAGGTGACCTGGGGAAATCCTGCCTTTCCTTCCCCGTTGGCAAGTGGCTT